CTTTTTGGGTTTGGGGCCCCAGCGGCCCGCGGCCACGCGCCTGCGGCCACGCGCCTGCGGCCACGCGGCCTGCTGCCCCCGCGGCCCACAACCCACGGCCGCGGGCCGCGGGTTTGGGGTTTCCCCAAAATTTTTTGTTTGGGGTTTCAGCATCTCTCTTTAAGGCTTGGGATTTGTCCATAGCAGCTTCTTTGAAGGCTTTGGAGCACCCGACAGCTCATTGTCTCATTGTAGGGTCTGGGGTGTCCCAACCGTTTAGGGTTTCAGCATCTCCTTTTTTTGTTAGGGTTTGGGGTTTTCCCACCATTCCTTTTGTTTGGGGTTTTCAGCATCTCCTTTCAGGGCTTGGGGGTTGTCCATAGCGTTTTCTTTGCAGGTTTTGGGCCAACCAAAATCTCCCGTTTGGGTTTGGGTTTTCCCTACCATTCCTTTTATGCGGGGTTTCAGCATCTCGTTTTAGGGTTTGGGGTTTGTCCATAGCAGCTCTTTGCAGGCTTTGGACCAACCAACATGTCCGTTTTGGGTTTGGGGTTTCCCAACCATTCTTTTGTTTGGGGTTTCAGCATCTCCTTTTGGTGTTGGGGCCAGTGGTGGGGTTTGTCAATAGCAGTTTCTTTGCGGGCTTTGGATCAACCAACATTTCCTTTTAGGGTTTGGGGTTTCCCAACCATTTCTTTTGTTTCGGGTTTCAGCATCTCCTTTTACGGTTTGGGGTTTCCCAAGCAGGGTTTGGGGTATGTCAATAGCAGGCTGGGCTTCAACGCGCGGCACGCGGCCAACGCGGCCGCCGCGGCCCGTGCCGTGGCGGGCAGCCACGCGGTTCGAGGCCCGCAGCCACGTGGCGTGTGCGGCCACGCGGCACGGCCGCAGCTTCCTCTTGGCGATCTTGAGTCCGAGCGACAGAGTGAGAGAAGGTCACAAATCGCCGGCATGACCCTTGGCGCAACAGACGTGAGTGAATGAACAAAACATGATGCACCATCTCGTGGTGATGGTGTATATGAGCTGGACTTTGATCTCCGAGCCGAATGTACGGCAGACGTTCTTGCGAGGACTTTGCAAGGTGCACTGGAGGACTAGTCAGGTTACTCCAGGGCGGGCCAACGTGGGTACTTGTGTTCCCCTTTCCGTGAAAAGAAAGCGGCGCGTTTGCGACTGCATTTGTATGGAATGTATATTTGAGTGATTGAGCCCGGTGTTTTGCACAAAAGGAAACAAGAACAAAGTCCGTGCAAACGAACGAGTTTTTATTTCCCTGCAAAGCAAAATTATTTCGTTCGAAATAAATTTCGTTCGAAATAAATTACGGCATGCATGTGAATGTTTTGTCATAACATGTGAAGATTGTTTCCTCTGAAGAATTTCTGCTCTCAGGGTGAGGTGGGTGGGATGGAAATGCTTTTCGTCTCGCCCGCCCAAGTCCCTGTTTCTCGGAGAAGGTGCTCTTGAAGTCGTCTCAGTGAGAACATGCTCGTTTGTCGTTTGTTTTCTCACACTTCCAAAGTCGTTGCCTTGGGCCCTAAGCCCGGGCCAGGGTGGGCACTTGTGTTCCGTTTTCCGTGAAAAGAGAGTGGCGCCTGCACTTATATGGAATGAATCTTTGAATGATGGATGTTTGTCTATATTCGGAAATATATTTGATTATGATGTTTCAGATGTGTCAATGCCCGGTGTTTTGCACAACGAGAAATAAAGGTCCTTGAAGAGTCCATTGCTTGACGGAAGCTTGGCGCATGGTGATGTGCGTTTGTTCCACACTTGTGTCAAACACAAGCCTTTGCACCCACCCAGAATTTTTTAAAAGAATGCGGGTGCGTCCGTGTTTGGGTAGGCGCCCGGTTTGAAGAGCAAGAACGGGTTGCAGGCACCCAGAAGGTTGATGGGTTTGCGCTGCCTTCCGGAAAGTGGTCGGCAAACGCCTTCAACACAGTTGGCTCTTCAGACGACGAAGGGCATGGAGTCCTGGAGCAGATCATGTTGTTTCACGTTCGTTTGTTCCAGCTCAAACACGGAACAGAAATTGTTTTCGGTTTGTGGCCCGTTCTGCAAGTATCAAAGAGACATTGGTTTTTTCAAGGACATGTCTGCTTTTCGGAAACCTTTCGTAAGCCCTGCCCCACCTCATGTACAGGAAAAGTGGTGGCAAGTGACATGGTGGACGTCATCAAGCTGAACTGAAAAGACAAAGGGATCAGGAGGGTTTGCAACGTGTTTCCAAGATTCCAGACCCCAGAGAGTTTTGGCAGGTTTCTGGGTTTCAAAGGCCCAGAGGCTTCGAGGTTGGACACCTAAAATCGAAAACGTCTCTTTTTTTGCTGGCGGCACACGACACGCTCTCGGCCGTTAATCTCTTTCCAGGTAAAACTTATTTATCGCGCGAAACGCCGCCTCCGACAATGCTTAATTGAGTTTACTGCGAACGAAACAGCTTACAAACCGATTGTTTGGAATGTGCCATGCACGTGGCTGTCATTGTCAAGAAACCGTTTTAAGAGAAGTGGACAACGTTTTGTTTTTGAAGTGCTTGAACCAGCTTCCATCTCACTTTTATTTTTCCATTTCTTGGACTGCCTTGCACTACCAGGTGCGCAAATCGGAAAAAGGATCGTCGTCGCATTGCCAGTTGCAAGCAAATGCGCGCCCTACATAAAGCTTTTCAACCTAACTCAACTGACACCCGCAAGCCCTTTGGTTGCGCAGCTTTAAGACGAGCAATGCTTCGCTGAGTTTAGAAACTTGTGCGGAGAAACAACGAGAGAACGCATAGCCGCATAGGCACGTGGCTGGCAAGCAGTTCATGGTTGTCATCATGGTGTCTCTGGTGTATCGTTGTTTGGGGTCTACGTTGCCTTCATGGTCCGCAACGTGGTAATCGCAGTTCCATCTCTCTGTATGTTGTCAAGCTAAGCCAAACAGCTAAGCACCATGTCCGTCATAGCCGTAAAACAAACCCAAGAAAAATCAAAAGATCGTTTTGCGAACATCTTGAATTACAATGTTACGGTTGTTTGAACTTGAGCCCAGCTGGACAGTGTCGTCTGTTCGGACTTGCCTAACTGTGCGAGCGGGCACCGAGTTCGATCAACATATGCAGTTGGGCCCAGACACCACGGTATCTGTAGGTTTCGGTTAGCAACAAGCGGACAAGGCAAGCAGAGTGGACCTTGTGTTATCGTGAAATATTTCCAAGCATGGTTTGGTACTTGGATCTGACATATTCGGGCACCTCCCTTTCAAATTTAGCAGGTCATCTTTTTTTGCATGTACGATGTTCGAATTTTTCAAGTATGTTTGCAAGTTTCATTTCCATTTTGTAAATGTAATTGGCATATCCTCATGCACACGGAAGATGATGCACACGCACATGGATTAGCACATGCATGAGGGCAACCAACACACATGCATGCATAGTTACAAAACAGTGCATACACACATTTATACATACATGCATGCATACACACATACATATATCATACCACATACTTGCATACCTCTGTTTTCATACCTACATACCGACGTACCTGTGCGCCTATGTGCATGCATTCCTGCAGACCTACATACCTACATACTTTTATGCGAACGTGCTTACTGACACGCCTACATGCATGCTTGTATCGCGACGTACGTACATAGTCGCATGTTTTAGACATTTACATTCTTGCATACTTACATATTTGCAGACTAAAATACTTACACATTTACATACTTGCATATACACTTACGCATGCACGTGCACGTACCCGCACGCAGGCACACAAAACATGCACCATTGGCACATGCGCAGATATGTACATACAGACATTTAAGCGCACATGCATGCGCACGCACATGCCTACTTATAATGAACATGGTTTTCTGAACAATACTGTTTCGGGGTGCATCGCCGAAGACTACCTGTGCTTGTGTGACGTTGTTTTTCTCCTTTGTCATGGAGTCACGGAGTTCATCGACAACCGTTGCAACAAGCTGAATATTGGCTGGCAGCATATGAACAGCCTTGCCGTCAATCCTTTGTTTCACAATCTTCTAACTCTGACCTTTGTGATCAGGGTCCTCATGAACGTAACAGATGCGGGAGGCAGGAGCTTGAAGTAAAGACGACATTGAGGTGATTTGTTAAAACAGGCGGTCTGGTGCACAAAAAATCGAAAGTTTCAAGCCAAGCTTCAGTTGTTCCATGCAGCAAAAACCGGCACCCGTAGCTGTGCAATCCCCGCCCGAGCGCCGCGGCGCTGCAGGAGGCACAGCTATTGAATTCTGATGAAACCAATTTGGATTTGTTCGTGCTATGTCATGTGCAACCAGGTGGACATTTGTTCTGTTCATAGCAGTGTTGCTGGTGCGGTGCTTAGAGCATCGAACTGCAGTTTGATGAAGCGGTGACAGGGTAGACCCGTGGTGCTCAGGACGTGCCAAGCTGCAGTGGAATGTGAGCCGCCCAGAACAAGTTCGCATACCTGCCACGCGAGCTTCGACGTATGCGCGGTTGGCTCGTATGATTCGTGCTTTGCACCGATGTTATGAACTGCGCTTCACCTCGTTTTGGTTAGGTTGTGTGGTATCCTGCATGCATGCCTGGCATGTTTGTATCTAGCTGCCTTGTTGTGACTGCTTGCACCACTTGTGGCCCCAAGTCTAATACCTTCAGTTACCTGCCAGGCCTGTTGATGACGCTGTTCGTGGAAGTCAGGTTCTCAGCATCTTCACCGCCAACGCCCTTGAACAAGAGTCTCAGAGAGCACCAGCGAGGCAAGTGCCGCCGGCAACCAGCTGAGACCTCAAAACCGTCGAGCCTTGTAGTAGTAGAGGACTATACGGAGTACCCGGTGTACGACGGATGGATCTCGACTCGTTTTATTTTGTGGCTTCTTGCAGGCCTCATGGCCGGTGCTGACCCGTCGCTCTGCCTTCCACAGGCGGCAAGCCGCACTGAGAGAAAACACATTCTTAACAAGTAGTGACAGGCTGTGTCCTGTAATTTTGCACAGAAGCTTATGAAGGCTTTGGCCATTCCGAAGAAGAACGTCCCTGGCTCTGCTCCGGTGTTGACGGCTGCCTTTCCCAAGCCCCTGGAATTGGAAGCTTCCAGGTGCGTCACGCTTTGGCTTTTCCTGGCATGCTGGACAGGCGTTCACGCGCAGGAGGAGTCGAGAAAATCTTGCATTAATTTCGCTGGGATACCTCGCATGGATGTGTTCTCGGCAAAAGAAGACCAATAGCCGTTCAATAGCCTGTGATTGCCGTTTATGCAGCAGGAGCTGCTCACTGTGAAGCAGTTCAGTCCGGCTGTCGGAGCAAAAAATGTGGGCACCAGTCTTAGACGGATGTGGCTGAATACATGGCTGCATTGTGGCGATTTTCTCAGGGCATACCGGCGTTCCGTGCTATGGCCTAATTTGACTTGGTGTGTAAGGCACCGAAGCAAGCATCTCTCTTACTTTTTCCAGCTTGATCCGACCTGGTGACGGCACGGTGACACTAGCACCGCCGGAATCTGAGCTTCGCTGCAGCAATCCATGCCGTGACTGGTCATGGCATGCAAGGTTTGCCTTGTCACAACGAGATGCGAACGTTTTGAGCGATTCCTTTGCACCTCGGATGACAGGAACCTATGTATGAAAGTGATGAGATTGTCTTTTGTTCCAGCCAGGAACCGGTCAAGATCAATGTTAATGACATCGCGCAGGCCAGGCGGACATTTTGCAAAAGAAAGCAAGAGTGTGTCGAAGGAAGTTCGCTGTAACTGGAGGTGAAAATTGCAGGCAACCTCATGACGGTGACGCCAACCGAGTGGTCACCTGAGAAGCTGCATTCACGTTATCAGGCTTCAGCCCGTGGCCAAGCGTCCTTCTTCACTTATCAGGTCCTTTCGCCAAAATGGCGAAATGTACATAGTGCTCGTCTCAGGAATGACCACGATACTTCAGACCACTTGTTGAGCAAGAAGATTTTTTGGCCTCAGGTCACAGTTTCCGCCGGAGCCGTGGAGGACGCATTGGACTCTGGTCATCTCCGAGCGTGATGTTTCCTTCCACGGTCAGTGCAGATGCACTTCAATGCAGGACACTGATGGTACCCCCTTTGCCGGCATTTTTGGAAAGTCTTATTATTTCATTGCAAAAGATGTGGTGCCGCCTGAGACCCAGCGGCTTGCGTCAAGGTCTTCTGCAACTGGTCGTGTTCTTATTCTTGTCGACGGGTAGGTGTGACTTTCTCAAACACAGCCGCGCAATGCAGCCTTCTGTCTTGCTGATGGGCTCGTGTTGTCCAGCCCTACTACGTGTGCAAACGACAAACAGTGCGCAGGGAAAACGGCGAGGAGGAATCTCCAATGAAGCAACCGGGACGAACAATGGCGAAGGAGGCAGACTGTTGCAGAGTCGCTCCTGCGGCATGAACTCGAAACGGGGGTCAAAGCAGTCCTGCAAAGGCATGAAGCCTGCAGGCCGGAGGTGTCTCTGAAACTGAAGCTGCACAGTGCTGTCACAGCTCCCATTTCAGAACTGAACAGTATATATATTCTTTAAAAAGTAGATCCCTACAGAGGGATCTGACGACAATTGGAATCCTACAGAGTTCCATGCTTCATTGCATGGAACGATCGTTACGACACTTTTCACGACAGACGGCATGCCTTGCGAGGTTTGCGCTTTCTGTCGACTTGTCTGCTGCATGGCATACCCACTCTCTATCGGCCAGCGTGTGATGCATGTGTGAGGAATGCGTAGCAGAAGTGCTTGCTGTGCTGTTGCCATAGCTGGAGAAAGCCCGGACGCTGCTTGCGCTTCACAGGCCTTGGGTTCTAAAGGTCGAGCCCGAAAGCGGAACTGCCGGGGCCCATGGCATCTGTGGTTTCGCGCTACACCTCAGAGCAGTCCGAGGTCGGTCTTGGTTACCAAGCAGATGGAGTCGATCCCATCCTGATAACGTTTAGTGAGCCGGTGCAGGCCGCGCCTTTCTGCAGGTTAGCGCCGGCTAGGGTGCACCTTGCATCATTGATGCTTTCTTAGGTTGGCACTGGACCTAGTGGTTTGCAGGCGCCGGCATCGGTAAAGTCTAGCGTGTGGAAGCATGTGGAAACCAAGAATTCTGTGCAGGCGAAATTAGTTCCTTCCAATCCAGCACATGACATCGTGCCCTTGGCACATTGTGCACACAGCGACGTGTGCGGGCCCAAGTCCACTTCGAGACCTGAGCTTATTGCTGTGACGTGCTGTGCTCAGGACTCTTGTCTTGCATCCTACATGTGCCCTGCAGCCGGGTGCTGCATACACCGTGAAGGCTCGGCAATAAAGTTGCTTCAGAGAAGAGTTCCAGCGGTTTGGGTCGAAGCTGGTTCCGAACGCAGGTTCCAGGTGACATGGTGAGGGACCTTTCTGGCAACTTCTTCGCGGGGTTGCTCAACGTGCCCGGATCCCGGTTGCGGCCTGTCGTCGAACTGCCTTGAGGGCCCACCTGCAGAAGTGCCCTGAAGCTGTGGCAGGTCGTATGGTACTGCAGATCTACAGCCGCAGGTCCACAGCGTGTGGAGAGTCTATGTAGAAGAATGGAGCATGCATGCGTGTTTTCTTCAGGATGCCACATGTACACTGGGATCGCAATGCGCCAGAACCTTGCTGCCATTGCTTTGCTCCTGCACTGATGGTATGCACGGCTTGTCCAGGCCATCCGTCTGGAAGGCACTGGCTTCCAGATTACGAATCGACTACGGTGGACAACGGGCACGCTCTTCCGAAAGAATCACAAGAGCATCCATTGGGAATGTGAAGGGTTCATGTGCAGGTACGTGTGGTGAGTGTGCAGAGCTCGGTGCTGTTGAATCACGCGGTTGGAGGCACGTTCTCCTGTCTGCTTTTGTTTTTGTTGTGGTCGAAAAGATTCGTTTTTCTCCGAGGTTCATTTGAGGCATGTGGGAAGGGCCCTTCCAGGGTCATGGATTTGCCAACCATGAAGTTTTGGGCTTGTACGGAGGCAGTATCGCAGAACACCGGGGCGGGTACCGGGTACCATTTATTACCGTCATTGGTCTGTGGATAGTGTGAAGATCACAGAAAAACTAAGGGGAAAATTTGTTACGGGCCTTAGCTTGTGCGCAAACGATGCGATTATGTGCGATTTGTCAAAGGCCTTGTGTTTGTGTATGTTGTGAGAATCATGGCTGACTGGGGGGCACGATGTGTTCCGGGCCTTGGTTTGTCTACGTTGTAAAGATCCGTGAGGAGACTGGGGGGGGGGGGTTTACGGGCCTGGCTTGTGAATGCTGTAAAACTGGGAGTGTGAATGTTGCGAAGGTCACCGGTTTTGATGTGTATCGAGCCTCGTGGGGTAGGATTTGTTGCGGGCTGTAGCTTGCGAATGTTGTGAAGATCACAGAAGACGTTTAGGCATCTCTTGCTGTGCTTTGAGATTTTGGGGAACTCGTGCTTGCATTTAGGTTTCAAGATTTGCGACCAATCCTCTCGTGTAGGGGCTTTGAAACTCCTTCAGGGTTTGCCAACCAACATCTTCCTTGGGTTCAGTGCGGGTTTGCCAACCAAGACCTTCTTTTAGGGTTCAGGATTTGCAGAACAACTTTGGGTGGGTTTGAAGCCAACATCTTCCTTCGCGATTTTGTCAACCAACATCTTCTCGCAGGCTTTGGGCTTTGCCAACCAGCCTCGTAGAGTCTAGAGAATGATGGTTCCCTCCTAAGGTCTCGGGCTTGCAAACTAACAACTTCCGTTGGTCTTTGGGTGCTGCCAACCTTCTAGGGTTTCGTTCTAGGGTGGAGGGTTGGCCAACCAAGATCTGGTTCTCGGGTTTATGGTTTCCAGTCTTCTCTCGCGCTTGGAGCCATCCAATCAATAGTTCTTGTTAGGGTTTAAGTTTAGGGTCTCCTTCCAGGGTGATTGCAAACCAACATACTTCAAGCTTTGCCAGCAGCTCCTCGAAGGTTCCTGGTGTACTTTCTTTTCGCTTTTTGGGATTGCCGACATAATTCGACTTTGGTGCTTTGGGTTTCTCCTTTTAGGTTTGGCCGGCTTAGATAGTTTAGGACTTGCCATCTCCTTTCAGGGTCTGGGGCTTCCCGGCCAACATCTTTCAGTGATTGGCGCCAATCTGCTGTTGGGGTTTGGGACTTGCCAACCAACGCTTTTTGTTGAGTTCTGGCCTGCCCTTGGCCGGTGGCCATGACACCCACCGTTGCGTGCCATCTCTAGATTGTATGCGGGGTGACCAGACCGTTTCGGCTGATGGTTCCCCAGTCCTACTTCGGTGCCTGACTGGTTTTTTCTTCACCTGGGGCGGGCTAGACCTAGTTTCTGTGTGGTTTAGAGATTCGAGATGCCAGACTTTGTCTTCTTGCGTCGGTATTTGAGTATTTTGTCCTTGCTCGGGTATCTTTTTGATCTTGGCTAGGCCGTTTCGGGCTTGGGTTTCCTAGTCCAGCCCTGACCTTTGAGTCTGGGGTTCCGGGATAGAGGACATTTTAGGGTTTAGGGCTTTCTAATTCTATGCCGGCATCCGATTTACTACCGTCTTTTTATTTCCGGTGCTTTACCACAACTTTTCCGTCTTGTAAGTCTCTCAATCCTTGTTCGATCTGTTGGCTCATCTTGGACTTGAAGGTGTTCTGTTTAGTGTGGGGTGTGATCCTGCCTTTGCTGCATAGGTGTCCGGAGTCTTGCTTATTGTCGGGGTCAAGGTGGCCACGACCTTTTCGGGTTTACGGTATCTGCCCACGATGCCCGATTCTTCTGCCGTGTCTTGTCCCACTGTGCTCAGAAAGCAAGGCTTGCATGCCTTCGGACCTCGCTCCCCGAGCGCTTGCAGTTTCTGCTTACGGTCAGGATTTTCTGCTATTCTTTTCAGGATTACGGACGGGCTCATCAGAGACTATGCCCGCTTCGTGGCTTGCGGTCCACAGGAGCCAGACGTTTTTGGTTTTGCTTGCCTACTCTTGCTGCGCCTGCCGACTTACACCAACACTACACTCGTAAGACTTCTTCAGCCATCGTTGCATCATTATCGTGTGCCTTCATCTCTCTCCGACTTCTTTTGCGGAGTTGGCCTTTTTTTTGCTGAGGGTTTTCGGCCAGCTGGAGAGTTTTTTTTGGTTTGGGGTGTACTCAAAATTTTTGGTCCAGCATGTGATATCATTTGCCTGTACCCTGATTGTACTTTGGTTTTTCGGTTGACGGTTCCGGTATGGCCAAGCGTTTCGGGCCACGGCTATTTCTCAGGTTCTCGCCCGGGATTGCTAGTCCAGGAGCTGTCACATGTTGGTCTCCTTGTCCTGCTCTGTTCGACTGGGTTCGACAGTGCCTCACCAATCTGGTTCTGCTTCGTCAGGATTTTTCTAGGATTTCGAGATTTTATTGTTGTACAATCACGGGCGACCAGACATATTCGGTGAACAACAAAACTCGTTTGCAGGTGTGTGTGAACATGTCCTCGGCGCATCTAGCGAATCTAAAGGCCTGGGCCTGGTTCAAAATTCGAGCCTTGCTTCGATGCCCGACTCGTGCCGCGGAGGTGCACATGCCATGCTCATCACCGCAAGTGTGATGGGTGTGCTAAGTTTCTGTTCGAGTTCAATCTTCCGCACGGCCAGACATTTTCGGTTTAAGCTGTTCGGGAACCGTGTTCAACGAGAAACGGACCACCGCAACAGAGCAAGGATAACAACCCCCGAACAGCTCCGGCCATCTTGGTCTCGTTCTCTAGGAAGCACGACATCTTCAAAACAAAAAGGGGCGGACCAGGACCAAGCAAACAAAACTCGAAAAGATCCGTCCGTCCAGAAACCTGTGTGCTGACAAAAATGTGCCAGCCGCATGCATGACCGGAGCTCAGCATAGCTACTCGCAACATTTTAGCTTTCCCAGGACCCGAAGCAAGGAACAAACCCTGTTCTCAGGCTAAGCCCAAAGACCTGTGGACTTATAGCATCACGACCAAGCATCATTCAGGAGAAATCAGACGAATCTCGCTTTAAAGCTTGCAGAACTTGGGTCTTCGGTCGACAGCTCAGCACGACCGGGGAACCTTCACGGAAAGATACTGGGCTCAGCGGCAAACGTCTCGCTTTTTTTTCCCGGTATCCCGGTGTGCGATGTTTACTTATGTTGGTCTTCTCGGTGCGAGGGTCCGCTGATCTCTAGGGCTATGTTTGGGCTTAGGCCTTGGCCCGTGCAGCAGGGGCTTAGGGCCTTGGTGTCTGCGTTGATTCATTTTCGGGTTTAGGGTTGTGTTGGGACGGGCAAGCGGCGACTCGGGTGTTTGGGGAGAAGTTCAAGCGGGGCCAGAAGGGCCTCGTGAGCCCGTCAGGCGTCAGGTCGATAAATGTTTTCCTGCAAGAAGCCGTTTGGGATTTTCGCTCCTGGCCTTGGCCGGGTGTGTGACACCGTGTCCTTCTGTGGTTTCGGACTACCTCTCCACGGTACCGTTTTGAGGTTCGCTGTCTTTTTTCAGTCCCAGTCCTGGTCTCATTCAGGTGGGCTTATGTTGTTCTGGCATTTCTTCATACGTTTTCAACACGGTTTGGACTCGGTTCGGCGAATGTTTCGGTGGCATAGTATAGGGATACTGCTCATGCGGTTTCAATTCGTTTTGGATTCAGGATCCGATATGACCTGGGATACGGCTTGGTTAGGCTCTTGAATACGGTTTCCAATACGACCACGTTTCTGCCTTTTGATACCGTCTTCTGAACGATGCTTCGAAGAAGATATGTTTCACACAGGTTTGCCTGCGGGTTCGGGTGATCCGTGCATCTGTGGGAATCCTTGTAGCCCGGAGTAGTTCAGTAGATGTTGCATTTGCCATTCTGCTTGCTTTAGTAATGTAGAGCATGCAGCGCAGTGAGGCCAAGTTCTACTTCGGACCCGTGTCTCGACCCCTGGTCCAAATCCTAAATTGTATCTTAAGTCATGTAAGTCGTCAGTTGCATCCGAAGTTGTGTCTGGAATCTTGCCAGAATCATTTTTGCTTGAAATGATCACGTATTGATCCCCGTAAAGAAATCGTGTCCGAATCGTACAGGCCGAAATGGGGGATATGCCATTTGGCCATTTGCATCGACGAATCCTTTCGGTTCTCATAGCTGTACTGTGCTAGAAAAGTGCCCAAACAGTGGCTGGGGCCGAAGCTGACCTCGAAACTCGTGGCTAAGCGCTTCGGCTTAGGGCTCGAGGAACGCAAAGGAGGCGGCAGGACACGCGGGGCACTCGAGGAATGTGGATAACACGGTAAGCGGACGAGGAGGACGGAAGGCGCCGAAACGGGGACAGGGGGACGAGGGGGTTTGGGGGCAACAGAAGCGCGGGACGTTTGTTTACAAGCCAAAGTTACGCCGAAACACTGTCGCAACGATGACCCTATCGCAGAAGACCCTCCGTACAGAGGGACGTCGGGCGGGATGCGCGACTAGGGGTGGGACGTGAGGGGCCCGGATGCCGGGGACGTGGGGAGCTTCCCTTTCTGGCTTGATGTTTGTTTTTTTTGTGGCTTCGGTTTCAAGACCTGCCAACACTTTTCTCCCCTGTCTTGTCAGGGTTCAGTCCGTGTCGCTGCAGTTGGTCGGGCGGCCGCTTTGGGAGTGCTCGAACAGAATTCAGCGTAATTCAGTATCATGACATATTCAGTTTGCATGGAGAACGCCAAAGCAACGGAGCGATACACAGTGGCCAGCAGGCCATACCGGCCTTCTACAGAGGCAGCCGACCTGATGATCTGTGTTGTCGCTTGCTGCGGATGGAAGTTTCTCACCATACAGCTGTGCGTGTCGCAAGGACCACGCCTTCTACAACTTTGGCATTCCCAAGCTTCCACCTGGCACCTACACGTATCCAGCATGCATCAAGTGCAAGATTTTCGCGGGCGGAGATGTTTGCCAGCTGTGCCCTTGAGGATGTGTTGGGCAAGTCTCGGCTCCACACGCCGGTCTGTGAACAAGGCGAAGGAAGCGGATTGTGCTGAATATTCGGTTGCAACCTTACGCTGTCTGGCACAGTTGTCTCGGCCAGCACCAGCTTCGCTCCATATAGCAGGATCCGACATTGCTTTTTCTCGGTCATGTTGGCATTGTGCTGAGGTTTTGATTGGCTCTATGCGGCTCCTTGCAGCCCGGGAGCTGGAAGATGAAGGCGCAGGCCAACACTGATAACATGACAAAAGAGAGATAGCATGTAATGCGACATGGCATACAGGCACTCCACAGCCGCGTACCGAACTGCCAGTTCAGAATTGCTCTGCGATTGCAAGGAGACGAGCCTGTCGTTGCACGGCGCCTGAGCCAAGCGACTCGACCAGGAGTTTTCACCATGTGGCAGACAGGTCTCAGGTTGTGTTGTGGTCTGAGGTTGGCTTGGAGAACCAGTCTTCAGCTGGACTAGCAGTGGGACCGTCGCCACTGCTGCAAGACAGGACTTGTGTGGCAGGGCTTTCCTGTTCCATCGACTTAGATGGTACATTCACAGACGGGGACAGAGTGATGGTGCTGGGTACCTGTTCCGAAGCGGGGGTCGTGAAGAATTGGCCGAACTCTGGAAGGTCATATCCGGCCGTTGATCAAAATTTCTCCTGGGGTGATGTTGCTGTCTCGGCAGCTGGCGGTGTGTACAGGCTATGTTGGTGTGTGGCTTACACTGGTCCAGCTGAACAGCACATGCCGTGCGATGGTGGGGAGGACTTCAGGGTCGATGTTGGCTCGATGACTCTGATCGGTCCTGGACCAACAGCAGCTGGTCAACTGACAGCGGAACCCGATCCCCTGCAGCAGCGGACATGTGTCAGTGGCTTAAGATGTGTAATTCATGGCATCACCGGGATGCATCTTACCGACCAGGATAGGTATGCAGTTCTGGATACGTGTGGATATCATGCTATGGTCGCACGCTTTGGGAATGGAGGCTTTTCATCAAATGTGGCCAGAAGTGGGGCAACAGTGCATTTTGGAGAGGTCGCAACGAGTTCGTCAGGAGGCCAGTACCGGCTCTGCTGGTGTTCTGCGATCGCAACATGTTCCTCAGGGGAGCACTTCGAGGTGACAGCAGCGCATTTACTGATAGCAGGTCCAGAGCCCCTGGAGCAAGACCGGACGTGCGTTTCTGGGGCTCGCTGCACCGTCCATGTGTCTGGTCTCGTGAACTCTCTGGATCGGGTCTTCGTCATGGACACATGCGGTCAGGATCATCTAGGACCAGAGCATCAATTGGTAGAGCGGTTTGCAGACTCGGGGCTGACAATGTCTGTTGATGCAAGCGGTGCCTTATTGAGCTGGAGCGACAGCACCTCCGCGGGGGGGCAATACAGGCTTTGTTGGTGCTCCGCTGACTCTGCCTGCAGGTTCGCTGCAGAGTTCAAGACGGATATCGGCGCGTTGCAGGTTGTTGGCCCTCATGGCCGAAACGATTATACGTGCATTTCCGGACAAACCTGCGAAATCTACGGGCTGGTGGGACAGTACTTAAGCGTTGGTGATGTTTATGCTTTGCAGGATACCTGCGGAACTGGTTCGGTATCGCGAGTTCCTCGTGGTCAGTCCCTGTCTGCAGAAGTCCACGGTGCCACGGTTAGTTGGGGTCCGGAGACGATTTCAGCTGCAGGTGGCACTTTAGCTGCAACAATTCATTTCCATCGTCCCTTGGTAACTTGTGACATCCAATAATGTCAGTTTTTTTCGTGTCATGTTTCAGCAACTTTCAGTTCTCATTGCCAGGCGTATACCGCTTATGCTGGTGTGCTGCCACATTTTCCTGTGGCATCCAAGAGGATTTTCGGGTAGATGCCGGGGAATTTCTCATCATCGGACCTTCGCCATTGATGCAAAGCCGGACTTGTGTGAGTGGGTACACTTGTCTGGTCGGCTCTTTTACAGGAGTTTTCCTGAACGACAACGATCAGATTGCCATTCGAGACACATGTGGTCAGTCCGCTGCTGCAGTTGGCTTTCCCGATGCAGGGCTTCTCGCTTCTGGCATGCTTCCGAGGGTATCTGCATCAGGTGGGCAGTACCGCTTGTGTTGGTGCGGTTTGCCAAGCGAGTGTGCACGACCCGAAAACTTCCGGACGGATTTTGGATCGCTTCTTTTGCTCGGACCCTCGCCGCTAGATCAGCGCCGAACATGCGTCTCGGGCCAGACATGTCGATTGTCTGATTTGTTTTTCCATGGTGAATTTGACTGGTCAATTGGGCGTCTACTTATTCTGGAAACATGCGCAACTCACGGTGTTTTGCCTCGACTCTGGGCGGAACCCATATCACCTCCGCCAAGCTTAAATTCTGAATCTCTGCTGGGTGCTTTTCAGACAGATGTTGTTTCAGCAGCTGGTGGGACCTACAATCTGTGCTGGTGTTCGATGATTCCCGGACCTTGTCTGGATGCGGAAAACTTTCATGTTTCTATTGGTACCCTTGACATAATTGGCCCAAGCCCTCTGCGGCAAGATCGCACGTGCACAAGTGGTCAGCGGTGCCATCTAGACGGACTGCTTCCAGAGCACATGGGAACCAATGACATGTTGATTGCCGACACATGTGGCACGGACAAAGCCGCGTTTGTCCCCAGATTTACCAACTTTGGTGCTTCAGATATGGTGGGCGACGGCCTTGCCACATGGAGCATCATTACTGCTGCCGGTGGTCAGTACAGACTCTGCTGGTGCGCTTCTACCACAGCTTGCGCTTCGGCATCTGAGTTCACCACGGACATGGGCGGACTGCTCCTCCTGGGTCCGGCACTGCTAAGGCAAGACAGGACGTGTGTCAGCGGCCTTTCCTGTGAGTTTGAAGGATTCCTTGGCAAGTACATCTCGAGCCAGGACCGCATTCTTCTGTCAGAGACCTGCGGTGATACCCATCTGCCGCCTTCATCACTGCCACCTGCTCAAGTTACTGCTTCGCAGACCGGCACTGCCGTGGTAAGCTGGGGCACTTCGCCGATTCTGGCTGCCGGTGGCTTTTATCGGCTTTGTTGGTGTTCAGGTCTTGTGTCACAATGTGAAGATCACTCAGAGTTTAGGACTGACGTGGGCATGCTGACAATGATCGGAGCCAATCCCTTGCAGCAAGCCAGGACATGCATCAGTGGATTGCCTTGCACACTGGAGGGAATCACAGGGACTTATCTGTCCGTTGCAAACTATTTTGCTGTGTTGCAAACCTGCGGTCACGATGCTGGAGCCATCGAGGGATTCCCCGGAGCAGGTGTGACTGCACAGGTGAGGTCCAGTGGAGCGCGAGTTTCGTGGGGACAGGTGCCAGTCACATCTCCAGGTGGAGTCTATTCATTGTGCTGGTGCGCTGGGCTACCTGGCGCGGGGTCAGCCGGACCTGTCTGTGGAACCTTGGCACAGGCTGAAGTTCTGAAGGGCTTCCAATTTCATAATGGTTGAATGGTGTTGTTACGCTCATATCGCGACAGTGGACTGTGAGTGTGCAGGGAACTTGCGTGGGGCAGGGTCTCGCGGCATTGCCTCGTCGGTGGTATGGAAGGGGTTTCATTCTGCGGACTGTTGTTGTCACCGCCAGGTCCTTCACTTACCGCCGAATCAAACAGTCTTTGCACTGCTAGAATTCTTCGCATGTACGAGCAATAAAGACAGGCACATCCTGCAAAAGGATGCATCATCGCGTTCTTGAGGTGTATGGAGGCGCTGCTTTCCAGTTTCAGGGTTTGATGTGTTATCCGAGATCGACTGATACTGTTGGGTGCCCCGTGCACCGCTGCACTTTGCTCCAAGGAACATCGTCGAGATTCCATGTGAGAGCTGGGACGTTGGCAGTCATCGGCCCTGCGCCGCTGGAACAGCATCGCACCTGTGTCAGCGGCCGGGTTTGCGCGTTCGATGGACTTCTGGGACAACATCTGTCCGTCAACGACGTGATTCAGGTGCTGGAGACCTGCGGGGTGGACCCCGTCATTGACCGTTTTCCTACTGCCGGGCAAGTGTCACGGGTTGAT